ACATGGTGCTCAGTTACGAGTGGTGTACTACAAGGATCTGTTCTGGGTCCTCTTCTATTTGTGATTTTTGTAAATGATTTGGATGAAGGAATGGAAGGGTGGATTAGCAAGTTCGCGGACGATACAAAGGTGGGTCATGTTGTGGACATGGCGGAGGGCTGTTCTAGGTTACAAAGGGGCATTGATAGAATGCAGAGCTGGGCTGAGAAGTGGCAGATGGAGTTTAACCCTGAAAAGTGTGAGGTGATTCATTTTGGAAGGACAAACTTGAAAGCAGAATACAAGGTTAACGGAAAGATTCTTGGCATTGTGGAGGAGCAGAAGGGTCTTGGGGTTCATGTTCACAGTTCCCTGAGAGCTGCCACCCATGTAGATAGAGTTGTTAAGAAGGCGTATGGTGTGTTAGCTTTCATTAATAGAGGGATTGAGTTCAAGAGCCGTGAAGTTATGCTCCAGCTATACAAAAGCTTGGTTTGGCCACATCTGGAGTATTATGTCCAGTTCTGGTCACCTCATTACCGGAAAGATGTGGAAGTGTTGGAAAAGGTGCAGAGGACATTTACCAGGATGTTGCCTGGAATGGAGGGAAGGTCTTACAAGGAAAGGTAGAGAGAGCTAGGGCTTTTCTCTTCAGAACGACGAAGGATGAGAGGTGACTTGATAGCGGTGTACAAAATGATCAGAGGTATAGATAGAGTAGACAGCCAGAGACTTTTTCCTAGGGTGGAGGTAGCTTTTACAAGGGGACATAGTTTTAAAGTGAAAGGAGGTAGATATCGGGGATACACCAGAGGTAGGTTCTTTACTCAGAGTGGTAGGGGCGTGGAATGCATTGCCAGAGAGGGTAGTGGAGTCGGCCTCATTAGGAGCATTTAAGCGGCTATTAGATAGGCATATGGATGATAGCACAAGGTAGCGGTGGAGGTTAGATAGACCTTAGGTTTAGGGTAAAAGTTCAGCACAACATCGTGGGCTGAAGGGCCTGTACTGTGCTGTACTGTTCTATGTTTTATGAGGTGAAAAATCAAAAGGGAGAGGCAAAAAAGGATTGTGATAAAAGACTGCCAGCTAACTAACAGAATCTCAAAGCCTTTTATAGGAACAACAATAATAAAAGGATGGAAAAAGGAATAAGGCCAGTGAGAAACCACAAAGGAGATATACATATGGAAGCAAGAAGCATGGCTGAGTTGTTAAATATTTTAATGCATCCTTTCAAGGAAGATGCTACTAAGTCATGGTGACAGAAGAAGAAACTCTGTCACAAGAAGGGTTCAAAATCTATGAGGACGTGGCATTGGATAAGTAGTTGGTATTTAGAACTGACAAGGAAACTGGACCAGATGAGATGCATCCAATGATATTGAAAGAAGTGAGATAGGATATTGCAGTGGCACAGGCTATTTATCTTCTAGTCTTCCCCATACTTGGGAGTGGTGTCAGAGGACTGGAGAAATGCAAACAAATATATCCTTTGTAAAACAGACACAAGGATAAGCCCAGCAACTACAGGCCACTCAGTCTACCTTCAATGGTGGGAAAACAATAGTTCCATCCTGAATTATCAGTCACATGGAAAAATGTGTGTAAATTAAATACAGCCAGCAGGGATTTATTTCAGGAAAGCCGTGAATAACTAACTTGTTGGGATGCTTTGAAGTGGTAACAGAAAGGGTTGATGAGGATAAAACTGTTGATGTGGTGCACATGGACTTAGAAAAAGGCATTTGGTTTAGTGCCACAAAGCAAACTTGTGAGCAAGGTTGTAGCTCATGGAATAAAGGGTCAGTAATAATGTAGATACAAAGCTGACTGAATGATAGAAAGTAGGGTTGGAGTGCAGGGAGCAATTTCAAAGTTTTCAGATGACATAAAACATGATAGCATTGTAAACTGCAAGGAATCATAGAAACCCTACAGTGCAGAAAGAGGCCATTCTGTCTATCGAGTCTGCACCGATGTTCCAAAAATCATCCCATCCAGACCCATCCTACCATATCCCCACATTTACCATGTCTGATCCACCTAGCCTGCACATCCAAAGATATTATGGGATAATTTGGCATGGCCATCTACCTAAACTGCAGATCTGTGGGCTGTGGGAGGAAGCCTGAATGCCTGGCAGAAACCCATGCAGCCACCAGGTTAAATGCAAACTCCACACAGACAGTCACCCAAGGTTGGAACCAAACCCAGGTCCCTGGTGCTGTGTGGCAGCAGTGCTAACCTCAGTGTGCCATCCCTGCAGGATAATTTAAAACTTCAAAAGAAAAACGTCATGGTGGTGGACTGAACAGGTAGATGACAGATGCAGTTCAACGCAGAGAAGTGAGATAATACATTTTGACTGAGTATGGAAAGGCAGCCATTCTAAAGGGTGCATACATGCATTGGTTATCAAAGGTATCATTTAAATATTTTTAAGGTAGTAGTTCTTGATTACCGAGAGGGCAGAAGATCACTGGAATTTTGCAGGAATGTAGAGATGAGGTTAAAATTCACTCAGCCATGATCTTATTGAATGGCAGAGAAGGTTTGAAGGACCAAGTGGCCTACTCTTCATCCTTGTTCATATGTATTCTAGGCTTTACTGATAGTAGCACAGAGTACAAGACCATTTATAACACACTAGTTAAATCTCAGCTGAATCATTGTACACAATTTTGGGCACCGTGACTTTCTGAAGGATATGAATGCATTGGAAAGATAGCAAAAGATGGCTAGTACAACAGTTTCAGGGATGAGAAATGTCAGTTATAGAATAGAATCCCTACAGTGTGGAAACAGGCCCTTCGGCCCAACAAGTCCACACCAACCCTTGGACCATCCCACCCAGACCCATCCCCCTATAACCCACACACCCCTGAACACTACGGGCAATTTAGCACGGCCAATCCACCTAACCTGCACATCTTTGGACTGTGGGAGGAAACTGGAGCACCCAGAGGAAACCCACACAGACACGGGGAGAATGTGCAAACTCCACACAGACAGTCGCCTGAGGCTGGAATCGAACCTGGGTCCCTGGCGCTGTGAGGCTACAGTGCTAACCACTGAGCCACCGTGCTGCCGTCTATTTATAATGATAGATTGGAGAAGTTGGGGCTATCTTTCCTGAAGAGGCAAAGACTAAGAGGAGATTCAATGGAAGTTTTCAAAATCATGAGAGATCTGGACAGCATAGACATGGAGAAATTGATTTTGCTCACATGAGGATCAAGAACGAGAGGACGCAGATTTAAAATAATCTGCAAAGAGGTAAATATCATGTGAGAGAAAACTTTTTTTATACAGCAAGTGGTTTGGGATTGGAACATGCTGATCAGAAGAGTGAGAGAGGCAGGCTCAATTCAGACATTCACCAAGACATCAAATTATTTAAACAGAAATAGTGTGCAGAGCTATGAAAAAAGAGCAGGTGAATGGTATTGAGACATGATGCTCGTTTGGAATAAAAACGGTCATTTGGAAAGTTGGTGCAGACATAAGCCAAAAGGCCTTCTGCTGCATTGTAATAATGCCATGACTCTGCATTCTGATCTTCATTCCAAAAACAAAATCTGCAAGTAACTTAAGTAATTTACTTAAAGCGTGGTCTTAGAACATTTTATTTTACACTGTAAATCAACCTACAAAATGCCAAATTATTTAAGCTTATGTTTTTGTACCCTAAACAAAATTAACAAAAATTCACTGCATTTTGTTCCCAAATGAAAATTTTAATTTTAATCATCCGGTCCATTATTTTTGCATTTCAAGGCATAACCTGGATGCTTTCTATGAGTAATGTATCAATTATTACAAATAGGACCAATGATGTTGCACATGATACAGACAGTATCTAAATTTAAACAACCTGCTGGCAAATCTAACCAGGTTAATGAAATCATCAGAATTAAATAACCTTGGTAATAAAAATTAGAAGAATTTATAGAATTTGCATTATTACATAAAATAAACATTTTGCAATCAATTTGCTGTGCTCCAAACATATACATCCAAATGGAAAAAAACATTCCAACCTCAAATCAGTATTGCATACATGTAAATAAAGAACAATTGTTTTTATTCATTCATGGGATACAGGCACCACTGGCCAGATCAGTCTTTATTGCCCATTCTTAGTTGCCCTTGAGAGCAACTAAGAATTGCTGCAGTCCCTGTGCAATCCAGTACACAATGACATTAGGGAGGGAGTTCCAGTTTCTTATTTTGCACCATACACGTTATCCACAATCATTGACTCTAACCAACTGTGTTGTTCTGCACCAACCTTTATTGCCCAAGTTGTGGTTAGGTGTTTTATTTGATCTCCAAGATAAATAAGCAAAATGTCCAAGATAACAGTTTATTGTTCAATCTTGAAGAATCATTCCATGAATATTTCCACATCATCAGCTATGCCTTGCAAAGTTATCCTGATTTTTTTCAATCCCTTCTAATATATTCATCTAGTCATTTGATTAATTCAAATAACCTTGTGACTTAATCAAGGTGGAATGGTTGGCATAACCTGTTCTCACATTCTACCCAAACAAACAAGTTGATTACTGCAACTTTAGCATAAACATTCAGATAATAAATAATGAATACTCCAGGAGCATCACAACTGCTCCTCCAATTAAGTGAAAGGACGTGCAAGTACTCACTGAGCCAGATGTATTTTGATGCTTGGTATTTTTTTCAAAGGTCTAATTAACTGAAGGCTAACAAAATATTCCATCTTCAGCAAGCACATTGAAATAGTAATACGATTTAGGACACAAGCTTAATTCACAGGCAGTGTCAACAGAACATGTAGCGTTAAATCTGAACCTTTGATCTATTTGGCCCATATTGGAAAAATATTCTCATTTGGCTAAGTATATGAAGCTACCCTGTACCAATGTAAATTATTACTTTTCCAAGGTTAAACTTTATTGGAAGCTAAACAACAATTGACGTGTATATTTGCATTGAAGGAAATGCTATTTCAAGCCATCCAATTACATCAGTCTCACCTTCTTCTTGTCCCTCATTGAGCCTTTCCCTCGCACCATAATCTTGCATCCTGTCTCTGCTTCCAACTGTTTTGCCGTTAGACCTCTGGGTCCAAGGATTCTTCCAACAAAGTTGAACTAGTTAAGAGAGAAAAAGAAAATATCATTAAAGTTCTTGAAACTAGATGTTGACAATTGAAAGCACTTCAGTAATAATTACAAACAAATTCACTTTTTACTCAGAAACCTCCAAAAATTTTAGAATAGATTAGGAAATTTTAGAACAGATAGGAAAGAGTTCGGGCAAAGGAAGTCTTCCCTAATTTGCTGCATTTGACAAGTAATTATTGTTAAGGATTTATTTGGGTCCTTAGTTATTCACCATACATGTTAATGATTCAGATATACAGCTCTCCACTTCTTGATCTAACAATAACTTGCATTGATAAAACACACTCTTAACATAGTAAAACACCTCAAGGCAATATCTGGCACCAAGCCATTTAAAGAGATATTAAGACAGGTGACCAAAAGCTTGATCAAAGAGGTAGATGTTAAGGAGTGTCAGAGGAGGACAGGGAGTGGCATCGGTTTGGGAGAGAATTCCATAGCTGTAACCCTAGGTAACTGAGGGTCTAACCACTAAGACCAATTAAAATAGGGGCGCATAAGAGACCAGAGTTAGAAAAGCACTGAGACTACAATGGACTTACAAAGTAACACTTTTGCTAAATGTCAAGCAATTTCCATCTCCAATCAGAGACAACCTAAACAACACCCCTTGGCATTCAAAGACGTTACCATCACTGAATCCCCCACTATCAGAATCCTGGGGTTTATCACTGACCAGAAATTCAACTGGGGATTTGCCATATAAAGTGGCTACAAGAGCAGGTCAGAAGCAAGGAATACAGAGGCAAGTAACTCACCTCCTAGCTCCCAAAGCCTTTCCACCATCAACAAGGCATAAGTAAGAGTGTGATGGAATACTCACCACTTGCCTGGACGAGTGTAACTCCAACAACACTCAAGCAGTTTGACACCATCCAGGAAAAAGCAACTTGCTTGATTATCACCACATCCATAAGCATCCTTTCTGTCCACCACTTACACTCAGGAGCAGCAGTGTGTACTATCTACAAGATACACTGCAGAAATTCGAAGACCGTTAGACAGCACCTTCCAAACCCAAGAGCACTTCCATCTAGAAGGACGAGGGCAGCAGATACATGGGAATACCATCACCTACAAGTTCCCCTCTGAGCCATTCACCATCCTGATTTGGAAATATATTGCTGTTCCTTTACTGTCACTCAGTCAAAATTGTGGAATTCCCTCCCTAATGGCATTGTGGGTTTACCTACAGCACATGGACTTCAGCAGCTCAAGAAGGCAGCTCACCATCACCTTCTCAAGGGCAACTAAGGGTGGGCAATAAACGCTGGCCTGTCAACAATGAGTGAATGAGAGAAGAATTATGGGACTTGAGGGCAGTTACACAGCTAAGAAGGAGAGGTCATCAAAGGATTTGAAAACCAGAATGAGAATTTTAAAATCAGAGTACTGTGCTACCAATATCCAATGCAAGTGCAGGGGAAATAAGCAAGAGTTATCAAGTTAAAACCATAACCAGTTCTGTAGAAAGCAGTAAGTTACAAAACGACACAGATTAACTGTAAGAGCAAAACAATGGCAGATGAAGCACACTGGAAGAAATATATGGACATTCTGCTTGGATCTGAGCAAAACAAATTGGAATATTTTCTATGGGAAAACACCCAGCAATGATGACTGTGAGCATGACAGGCTTAAAATTGTTGTTGCAGTGTGAATATTATAAAAAGGCCTGTAGAGTTTAAAACTCAAGCTACTTTTTACCTTAGATCAAATACACAGCAAAACACAAGCGTAAAATGTTGCAACATTTGTGACAGGGTTTAAATGCTTTTAGTTACAGTGCAAGTAAATCGACAGAAATTAACAACTTAATTATCACTGCTGTCACAACATGTCTCCATCCTTATGAGATTTCCGCTTAGGTTAACGAGCTTTGCTAAGGAATGGCTTCTTTTCTTCTTCAATGCATGCATTCCGTAGCTCATCAAACCTCTTTGCTACATCAACAATAGATAAATCAGGACACTCAGCTTTGATTTTTCAATGTGCTCTGAGCAAAACAAGAACCACCCAGAGGGACCTTTGCGGCCCTTTGGCATCCTCCTCCCTTTTGTTACCTTTAGCAGGCATATAACTTCATTTCCCAGTCATAACATGCCTTATCTACTTTAGCCAGTGGTTCAAATTCAGCTTTCTTTTTGCTCGACATCGTCTTTCAGGCCACCTTTAAGAGAATTCGAGGAAGTTAACAGGAATATCAATGATTTTCTTCTGTTCTTCCCACTAAGTCTGAACAAACTAAACATGAGAACATTTTGCCTCTCGGTTTCTTTGGGTCATGTTTTGCCATTTTGTTGCTTTTCCTGTGGCTGACTGCTGGCCCCTCAGTTACAGCTTTTGCTTTTGAATGGGACTTTTGTCATCTCACAGCATCAATGACATGGCTTAAATATTCAACAGAAATTTTTAAAAAATTCACATTTATCTTTCTACACCCTTAGGCCATAATCTATAAGTTTCTATAGCGTACCATCTAAAATGTGGAGATGCTCTTTTTCATTTCACCTCATAGCTAAAATATAACCTAGGTAACACTGGCCTCCTTCCAATCCAATTAAAATCTGATCCATGGCCTGTTGGAATAATACAGGTGCAGGTGAGATTTCAAATGGAAGTCTCTTGTATTTGAATAGTTCTTTATTTGTTAAAACTGTAAAGTCTTTCTGAGATTCGGGATCTATATTCATCCAGACATAGGCTCGACTAAGGACATTTACAGGTGAAGCAGTTTCAAGGGTTATTTCAATGTAAATGTTCAGTTACATGGTTGGTCTGAAGATGTGTCCTTGCATGTTACCAAACAGAATTTTCCCTTTGGGAAATTTTCATTGAAAAGCTGACCTCCAGCTAGTACAGCAAATACATTCTCAATTAAAGGTAAAGGACACCACTCAGCACAGGGCACCTGTTTAATAGTGACACTAAAATCACCACAGATGCAGACCAATCCATCTGTCATCATCACTAGTATGATAGGTGTGGCCCAATCACTCATATTTACAGGTTCAAGGAGTTTCATATTGACCAGCCTCTCTAATTCTGCCTCGATATTTGGTCTGATTGCATAAAGCACTCATCTAATCCTTGCAACGTTTTACTTCATTCTAATCCTTGATTTTCAATTTGACAGGTCTTTTTCATGCTTCTCAGATCACAATTGAAAATAATGGCATACTTCTTTAGAATTTATGATTGATAAACCTCAGAATCTGACAAACAATTTACTTCAGCCCTGTTGAGTTTGATTTTCTGCAACCATGTTTTTCCCAATAAAGCTGCAAAATCCCCTTTGGTAACATACTAGGACAAATCTTCAGACAGACTGTATAACTGAACATTCACACTGATACAACTCTTTAAATTGCTTTGCCTGTGTACATTCTTTGCGCAATTTTTGAGGGTTGCAGCACAATGTGACTGAGCTGCTTTTGATGCACACTTTCAGGTATGAATAAAACCATCACACCAGCGTCCATCTCCATTCTTATCAAGACCTTACCACCAACATCATCAAAGATCCATAGCATCCCAGTAATGATCTCCTACAATCTCTTCTGTCAGGCAGAAGATACAGAATTGTGGACACACACACCAGCTGTTATTAGACTGATGAATGGATTCTCTAGTCTCAAATAATGCTGATCTTGCTAACGTTGATCTCGCCTAGCACACTCCCTGTGCAATGTAACCTGTATGCCTCAGACTGTCTAAGTCTTTTTGATTTGTACAACCTTGCTTACTATGATCTGCCTGTACTGCTTGTAAACAAAGCTTTTCACCGTACTTTGGTACACTGATAATAATCGAAACGCCACTCAGCAAGGGAGCAACCCAGCATTGGTTGGTGGCACCAGCAATAACTAATATCTTTAATAACAGCTCCTCTTCTGACTGAGAGTCTAGGTTTTCCTTATGCTCTTTTTACACTATGTAGATTTTCTTCCTACTCTTCAGTTTTTGTACTTTTGCTGTAGTTCATGGTTTCTTTCTAAAACATGTTCAATGTGCCCTTTTTTAATGTAGTTTTTACATTCAGCTTCTTCATTCCAGCAATTTGCTGCTGCATGACCTGTTTCTTCTACATCAATGGCAGTTTTGAATCTGTGTTGGTGTGTGTATCTCAGCTGCCATTTTGTGAACTCGCTCAGTCGCCATTTTGTGTATTCCCATGCTTGCGCTTAACTGCTGAGTTTCCTTGGCTGCTAGTTCTGTTGAAATACTATTTCCAGTGCTTTAAGTTTAGACTCCTTTACATCTTAAACCACACACCAGTATCTGACAGCATCATTTAAGTTGTCTTTAAATTCGCAGTATTCTGCTAAGTTCTTTAAAATTGGTATGAACAAGGAGTAATTCAATATCATGCTGATTACATTTATGGAATCTGAGCCGGTCAGAAATCACCAATGGTTTTGGTGAAAATGGTTCTGCTGGATTCCTCCTAATTCTTAAGTTTTGGAACCCAGCTTCTCTGAATGTACCAGACTCCTCGGGTGATTGAAAGCTTCTTCCCCCATAAAACTCAGGAATGTCATAATGACTATATCTGCTTCAATTTTGTTATTTTGAACAATATAATGGAATCATGTTGTGGTTAGTTACAGTTGCCTGTATTTTCATCGTACAGTCATATGGTGTCAAATTACCTATCATAGATATCATTGAATCATAGAATTCCTACAATGTGGAAGTAGGCCATTCGGCCCATTGAGTCCACACTGATTCCCCAAAGAGCATTGCACCCAGACCCAACCCCTCTCCCTCTGGTCCTGCATTTCCCACGGCTAATCCATCTAGCCCGCATATCCCTGGACACTATGGGCAATTTAGCATGGCTAATCCACCTAAGCTGCACATCTTTGGACTGTAGGAAGAAACTGGAGCACCCAGAGCAAACCCTCACAGACATGGAGAGCATGTGCAAACTACTCACAGACAATCGCCCCAGGCTGGAACCTATC